TTTAAATAACGACTATCGAGTTAAATATTTGCTATTAACAATATTCTTCCATATTCTATGTGGGATCGACCCCGACTCATAGTTGGATAAATATATTGCATATGATCGTTTATATTTCTTTTCAAGAAGTATATTTTGGACGTTATCAAGAATGGCGCCGCTGCCGGGGAATGTGGCTTAGAAATTGTCTTTAGTATTTATTTTGTCTTGTAGTCATTTTTTTATTTTTTTATGATTAGTTTTAAATTAATTTTTTTATCATCAAATTTTTTTTCACTCTTCTTGAGATGTCATCTGAAAAAGTATGTAGTGACAAGTGTTCTCGCAATTCATGTACTTCTGATATTATGGATTCTTATAGGTTAATTTTTTCTCAACAAGATAAGTTGTATGGGGACATGGAAGATTTGTTAATACTTTGCTATAAATCAATACGTAAGCGCATGCTTGAAGATATATTTGGTTTTGATCTCTATTAATTAAATTGTGAGTTGAGTGCAAATATTGAATCATATGACACCCAACAATTTAGTAATAATATGTGTGAGGAATAAAAAATACTTGTAAGTCAACTTGAAGAGCTAAAAGTTGAGAGTGAATTGATTGATCATACTTTTATTGATGTTGCCATTGTTGAGAAGAGTACACTAGAGTTATGTAATGAAGTAGATAATATTATTTTTAAAAACTCTAGTATGTGTAAATATGAGGGTGTAAATAATAGTACAATTCATAAGTTAGGGCGCATTGGACCTCATTCCAATCATTTTTCCACATTATGTTTAGATGATGAGATAGTAATCGAGCCATCTGAGCCTATAGAAGAGTGTATGGAGGAGGAACAATGTGTCTACATTCTTGAATTTTTTGTTTCAAAATCGAAGAATTACATTCCTCACTTAGGATCCAAGAAGTGCATAATGCGATATCTATTGCTTGGGACCTTTATTTTTGTTCCACCACCCCTTGAGCGTAATAGAAAAATTGATGCAAAATTAGAGGTGCAATTTATATCTTCAAAGTGGAAGAAAAAAAGTAAAATTGATGGCATCGTGCCGCGACGTTAAATCAAGCGCTTATTGGGAGACAACCCAATTCGTAGTGTAACTTCTTATTTTTATTTTATTAGTGTCACTTTTTTTCTTTTGGTCTTATTTTTGCAGATTTGGGGAAGTCTGAGTACCCAAAAATTTGAAGCGAACGAGCACGTTTGAGATTAAGTGTGGGATGCGTACAACCCTTGATGAAAATAAAGAGAACATGCTACTAGCTAGGCCTAGAGGCCTCAGGGAGTTTTTCTAACCATTGTTTTAAATTTTATTTGATGCTTTGGGGACATAGCATCTTCTCAAGTGTGGGGTGGAGGAATGAATTCCTAATTTTTTTTACTATTTTTATTGAGTCTTCATATTTTTAGGATGGGTTCCTTGACTTTTGTTTTCGGTTCTTTTCCTGAGGATAGTCCCTTTGAACCGAGTGCCTTTTATTTTTTAGGAATAATCTTTCTTTTAAAAAAAAATTGAGAGAAAAGAAAAGGCCCTTTTGAGTGGTGTGATACTTGCTATCTAAGCCTAATTTTTTAGTAGTACTTTCTTATGAATGCTTGATTGATAAGGAAATTGAAGACTCTTGGACACCTAAGCTCATGATTGTGACTTTGTATATAGTTTATTTTATTTTATAGGTTGTAATGATCTTGTCCATCTTAGAAGTAGAATTGATCCATCTTGATTGAGACTTGTGCCATGTGTGGTGAGGTTGTTTGCATATATTCCATGTTTGCATCTTAGTCTAGAACTTTCCCTACATGTTATTGAAGCGAAATAAAAATTATTGCTTTGTTTAGGAGATGATAATAGGCTTTCTTTGCCTTTTCAGTTATTATATCACTAGTAAAACCCCATTGAGCCTGTCAACCTTAATTTTTCTTTAAACCACATGATTGAGCCGAATCCCTTTCTGTTGATATCATAAGTATTCGATCCTAATGTAATCTTTAATGAACTACGTTGAGAAGAAAAGTTGAAAACATAGGTAGAATTGGAAAAAGGTGAAAATGCTTGATGTGTGAAGAATGAAGAAAAGTGTGAAAACTTTGTTTTGGCCCTGGTCCCTTGTGGATATTGTGCACCTCAACCAGGCATAAAAACTTAAGTTGAGGGTGGCTAATTCAGAAGTTTGCTTAAAACGTTGGACTTGGTCCCACCAAGGATATTGTATACCTCACTTGAGCCTCAAAGCCTTGAGTTGAGGGTGGCTAGGGCAAAGCCTCTGGAAAAATAAAAGATTGAAGCATTACTTGTGAAATAATTGTTGAAGAGAGGGCTGAAAATAAAGAGAAAAAAAATAATGGGTGATAAAGTCTTGAAGTGCAAAGTGTTTAAGGAAGTATAAGTCACTATTATATTGTTTTTCTACCCTTCTCTTAGCCCACATTACAACCCAGTAAAGTCCTATTTGATTCTATTCAAGCATGCTTAATTAGTGGAGATGTACATAATGGACAAGCCTATGGTTCGTTGTGCATAAATGTGAATTCTTTTGTGAGTGAGAGAGTTGTTCTTCGATACTTGGTCCTTAACTTATATTCAATCTTTTGAATTGAGCGTGTGGACTATTTCTTCTTGTTAGGGCACTTGTTTCATGATAGATATGTGATTTTATTAGCTTTCTTTGATGAGAGTAGGTGAGCAAAGCTTAAATTTGATGAGTTCAAAGTTCTACCTTGAGGTTAGGAGGTTAGAGGTTTGTTGTTTATTTGGATGTCTTGCCTAATGATTGAGAAGTCTATTTGATGTTTTGAAATTGGTATATGACCTAATTGTTTGTATTAACCAAAGTGATGACATTCCTATTTTGATTTTTTTAAGATGAGATTTAATGTTTGCTCGAGGACGAACAAAAATTTAAGTGTGGGGTGTTGATGTGAGACCAAAATACATATTTTTAATCATTATTTACCTCACATTTATTATTTATATTTTTTTCTTTTTGAGTCGTGAATTTTATGGATTGTGCTAAATAGTATATTTTATTTGAAGGAATAAATTGACATAAAATTAAAGAAATTTGAAGCTAAAACAAATTAAAGAAGGAAAGTTGAAGAAAAAAATCAAACAGACAACTTAATAGATTAAATTTAATAAAATAATATATTTATACATATGAGCAGGAAACGAATTGCAATTGCCTACTGCTGCCACGTGTCAGCAGCTGGAGGGCTCTTAATTTTGAGGCGGCAAACGGTTCCAGCAACACGAAATAAAAAGACGGAAAACCCAATTTAATTGGGCTTTGATTTCCTAAGTCTTGAACTCAATTATTTTATTTAGGGTTTCTATATCTATAAATAGTGTATGAAAAATTATTTTTTGGGGGGAAGAATTAAGAAACAATACACAATATAAATTTTATTCTATCTTAGGAACTTTGGAAGAATCGCCGTAGAGGCCGGAGAATTGTGGTTTACTCTTTCTTCTCCTTTATTATTTATTTGTATTTGTCATTAGTAAAAGATAATTTAGCTATTGTTCTTGAATTTTTATGATTAACACAAACATATTTATTTTAATTGTTTTTTTTTATATAATGAGTAGCTAAATTTCATAACTAGGGTTGTGGGAATCATGATGAATTATTAAAGTAAGTTTATGTACGAAGTGATTCTTGAATGATTTTTATGCATGTATTGTTAATCCTTTCGTTTAGAAGTCTTTTTAACGGTGACCAACATTAGAACTCGCCTCGTTCCTACATGCCGGACCAAGGAAGTAATGAATGAGAAAAGGATTAAACAACAGAGATTTAGTGGATGCTATCGAATTTTCTAATGTCAATTGGTGCGAGGGTAAAAACTAAGGCATACATTGATGTGATGTTTAATCTGAAGTAAAGGTAAGAGTTAGTAAAGTATACACTCGTAGCCGGACCAAGGTGCGTAGTGAAATTCCCTATTTGGAGGACCAATCACTTAGGGATACCTAACTTACCAACCTTGCATGCTAAAAATTGAAATAAATCACTAGTACAATATTCTTGCTATTTTATGACATCATCGGGAACACATTTCTAGTTATTTCTAATAATCTGAATATAAATAAATACTTAATTCAAAGCTATTTTTATTCTTTTTTCAATTTAAATCCCCCCATTTTTAAATAATGACTACCGAGTTAAATATTTGTTGTTGACAATATTCTTCCATATTCTCTGTGGGATCGACCCCGACTCATAGTTGGGTAAATATATTGCATACGATCATTTATATTTCTTTTCAAGAAGTATATTTGGACGTTATCAGGAAGGCGTCTTGAGAATTAAGGGGCTGGTGTGTGCCCTGTGTTGATGATTTGACTCATACTATTCTTGCAGAGGCTCATAGTTCGAGGTATTCTATACATCCTGGTGCAACCAAGATGTATTGTGATCTAAAACAACATTATTGGTGGAGTAGAATGAAGGGTGACATTGTTGATTTTGTTGCCCAATGCCCGAACTGTCAGTGGGTAAAGTACGACATCAGAGGCCTGGAGGGACACTTCAGAGAATGCCCATTCCTGAATGGAATGGGAAAGAATTGCAATGGATTTTGTGGTTAGTCTTCCAAGGACATTGAGTAAGTTTGATTCTATTTGGGTAATTGTTGAAAGGTTAACTAAGCCTGCTCACTTAATTCTGGTCAAGATGACCTACAATGCAGAGAAGTTAGTCAAACTCTATATCTGTGAGATTGTTCGATTGTATGGAGTTCCAATCTCTATCATATCAGATAGAGGTACACAATTTACTTCTAACTTTTGGAGGACCTTGCAAGATGAATTAGGTACTAGATTGGATCTTAGTACCGCATTCCACCCTCAGACCAATGGACAGTCTGAGCGAACAATTCAAGTATTGGAGGATATGTTTTGTGCGTGTGTGATAGATTTTGGTGGTCATTGGGATCAGTTCTTACCCTTGGCAGAGTTCTTGTACAACAATAGCTATCACTAAGTATTGATATGGCCCCATTTGAGGCATTGTATGGGAGAAGATGTAGGTCTCCCATTGATTGGTTTGATGAATTTGAGGAGAGACCTTGGGGTACCGATCTTTTGAGGGAATCGTTAGAGAAAGTGAAATTCATACCGGAGAAGCTTCTAGCAGCTCAGAGAAGGCAGAAGGAGTATGCAGATCGGAAGGTCAGGGACTTGAAGTTTATGGAGGGTGAGCATGTCCTGCTGAAGGGTTCACCCATGAAGGGTGTGATGCGGTTTGGTAAGCGAGGTAAGCTTAGTCCGAGGTACATTGGACCATTTGAATTTCTTAAGCGTGTGGGGGAGGTGGCCTATGAATTGGCCTTGCCTCCAATGTTGTCAGGAGCCCGGTATTTCATGTGTCTATGCTGAAAAAACACCATGGTGATGGAAACTACATTATTCGTTGGGATTCAGTCCTGCTTGATGAGAATCTATCTTATGAGGAGGAGCCTATAGCTATTCTAGATAGGGAGGTCCGCAAGTTGAGGTCAAAGGGGATTGCATCTATCAAGGTTCAGTGGAAGAATCGGCCAGTTGAAGAGTTCACTTGGGAGAGTGAGGCTGATATGCATGAAAGATATCCACATCTTTTTATTGATTCAGGTACCCTTCGGTAACCTCACCTTCTTTTTAATAGTTCGAGGACGAACGATGGGTACATTGGTATTTGATGTAACGATCCATTTGGTCGTTTTGAGCACTAGAGCTTTTTATTTCATAAAATACTTTCCGATAGATTCTAAATGGGTATTTTGGACTATTCGTAACTACAATTATGAAATTAGTAGGGTAGTTTTAATAATTAATTTAGTTGGTGGTTACAGAAGATAAAATTAAAATTAATAGAGGGTCACTTTCACCACTCTTATAATTAGTCATATAATAATTAGGGTAAAAATAATCTGTAGAAGAAAAGAAAAGAACGAAAGAGGAGAATAACAGAAAGCAGCCTGAACGAAAGAAGAATGCGAACGACTTAGACTTCAGGTAAATCATCCGCCAAAATTTTGTATTAGGAATATTGGTATGAATTATAGTATTATCGTTAGTATTATAATTTTGGGGGGAAATCAAATTGTGGGTGTTAGAAAATTGGACGTCATTAAATTGGAAACTGGAAAAGTGGTTAACATTAGTAAAAATTGATGGAAACTTTGTTTGGTAGTCCATGTGAATTCTTGAAAAAGAATTTCCTAATGGCTAACTTCAGTGGTATGATGGCAATGGTTAATGGGTAAGAAAATTGAGGTGTTAAATTTATATATGTGAATGTGGGTACAACTAATGAATAATATAATTAGGAATTTTAGTTTCTAATTGAGGCCAATGATTTGATATTGTTGTTGGAATATTGTATAGAAGTGTACTCATGGAATCTGGGTATCGTCAGGCGTATGATTGAGGTTTGGCTGCCACTGGTTTCATAACCAGTGGCTTCAAACGTTTAATAATAATATTCTATTCTCATATTATAAATTATATTTCGACATATTGAGATAGCTAATTAAATATAAGGTGTATTATATTAATTGAATACCATTAAGGTTATGCAAATTGGAGGAATTAAGTCTTACCCTTAGGTTTGAACTTTGTGAGATTGATTATAGAATTAGGTGAATTTTTAGGTCTAGGTTAGACATACAATAATATGAGTGTTTATAGACTCGTTAACTTACAAATTATGCATATAAATTTGATAGATTGGAAAGGTACGGAGACATTGAGGAAAGGAAAAGTATTGGAGAAGTAGCTTACTTGACTTCGGTTCTTCAGTGAAGGTAGATCACGGTTTATTCTATTTGATAGATAGACTCTTAATAGTGATTGATATGCAGTGAGTGATATTGTGAAGTTCTCTATGTACTTGATTGTGTGGTTGTGTGGCTTGGTTGTGTGGTTTGTGATTGGTCTGAAATCCTGAAACCGTGAAATTTATAATCTTGAACCCTCTCTATCAAAGTGATGTCTTGAATGAAGAAGACTTGATGAAATATTGTTAATGAAGTGAAAAGTGGTGATAATAAATGATACATTAACGATATATTGGATTGGATGCCACAAGCCGGCATGATATTATTGGATCGAGTGTCACGTTCCAACACGGTAATATTAAAGGAAAACATATATATAACGTAATGTACTCAATCTCAAAGAACTCAATTGTCAAAATGGTTTGGTTTAAAGGCATGAGTCCTCATGTGTGATCTTGATATTGATGACTGATTACGTACTTACTTTAGTGTTGTTGTCACTGGTTCATGTTGTTTGTTGCTTGCCACCTGCTAAGTGTCATAGTTGATTTTATATTATTATTCATTACATATTAGTTTCTATTTTGGGTTGGCCGATGATACCTACTCAGTACATGATCCCTGTACTGACCCCTACATGTATTTTCTTCGTTTCCTTCTGTGGAGTACAACAAGTATACCATCGACTTCGACTCGCCCTTAGCTCTAGCCAGTCTCCTGCTCATCATATTTCAGGGTGAGCTACTCCTTCTAGCTCGTGCTTGATTCTCTCGGTCATGGCATGATGTTTTAAAATTTCGGATATAGACCATCTTATTTTGGTGTCTTTAATACTCTTAGACTTGGTATTTTGAAAATAGATGTCCTTGATGTGATGACTTTTAGGTTTTAGGGATAATATGTAATAGACTTTAGAGGTTTCTATATTTGATTGGTTACTTTAAAAAGTTTTGAGTTTCCGCGTTATTGTTGTTATTCGTGGTTGAACAATTGATATAATTTGAGGTTGAATTTGTTGGTTCGTTCACTTAGGAGGTTAAGTGTGGGTGCCACTCATGACTAGTTTTGGGTCGTGACAAGGTGTCTTGATATACTTTTCTTGATTCTTATATCTTTCGGATATTTATGAGGAAAAAATAATATTTTTGTTATTTTTCGGACAGTTACGAAAAAGAGTTAAGTTTTGTTCATTTTTTTTGTTTCGATATTCTACGGCCATTGTTGCAGTTTGAGAATTTTTTGAGGTGTTTTGATGCACTTTTCTTGATTTTTATATTTTTCGGACATTTATGAGAAAAATTAAAAAAAAAAATTGACAGTTACGAAAAAGAGTATGATGTTGTTCATTTTTTCGTTCCGACATTCTAAGGTCATTGGTGAAAATTGAGAACTTTTTGAGGTATTTTGATATACTTTTCTTGATTTTTATATCTTTCAGACATTTACAAGGAAAAATTAAAAAAATTGCTATTTTTTGGACAGTTGCGAAAAAGAGTAAAGTTTTGTTCAATTTTTCGTTTCGATATTCTAAGGACATTGATGCACTTTGAGCGTTTTTTGTGGTGTTTTGATGTACTTTTCTTGATATTTATATCATTTGGACATTTACGAGGAAAAAATATTTTTTTGTTGTTTTCAGACAGTTACGAAAAAGAGTAAAGTTTTGTTCATTCTTTTGTTTTGATATTCTTAGGTCATTGGTGCAGTTTGAAATTTTTTTGAGGTGTTTTGATGTACTTTTCTTGATTTTTATATCTTTCGGACATTTACGAGGAAAAATGATTTTTTTTGTTATTTTTCTAACAGTTACAAAAAAGAGTAAAGTTTTGTTCATTTTCTTGTTTCGATATTCTAATATCATTGGTGCAGTTTGAAATTTTTTTGAGGTGTTTTCATGTACTTTTCTTGATTTTTATATCTTTCGAACATTTACGAGGAAAATAATTGTTTTTGTTATTTTTCAAACACTTGTGAAAAAGAGTAAAGTTTTGTTCATTTTTTTGTTTCGATATTCTTAGGTCATTGCTACAGTTTGAGAATTTTTTGAGGTATTTTGATGTATTTTTCTTGATTTTTATATCTTTCATACATTTACGAGGAGAAAGTAATTTTTTTGTTAATTTTCTGACAATTACAAAAAACTGTAAAGTTTTGTTCATTTTTTCGTTTTGATATTCTAAGGTCATTTATCTAGTTTGATAATTTTTTGAGGTGTTTTGATGTACTTTTCTTAACTTTTATACCTTTTGGACATTTACGAAGAAAAAATATTTTTTTTTGTTATTTTTCGAACAGTTACAAAAAAAGAGTAAAGTTTTGTTCATTTTTTTCGTTTTGATATTCTAAGGTCATTAGTGCAGTTTAAGAATTTTTTGAGGTGTTAAGATGTACTTTTCTTGATTTTTATTTCTTTCGAACAATTACGAGAAAAAAATAAAGTTTTTGTTATTTTCTGGACAGTTCCAAGAAAGGGCAAAGTTTTGTTTCATTTTTTCGTTTCGATATTCTAAGGTTATTGGTGCAGCTTGAGAATTTTTCAGGTGTTTTGATGTATTTTTCTTGATATTTATATCTTTCCGACATTTACAAGGAAATACTATTTTTTAGTTATTTTTCGGCTAGTTACGAAAAAGTGTAAAGTTTTGTTCATTTTTTCGTTTCGATATTCTAAGGTCATTGGTGTAGTTTGAGAATTTTTTGAGGTGTTTTGATGTACTCTTCTTGATTTTTATATCGTTCGGACATTTACGAGGAAAAACTGATTTTTTTAATTCTTCGGATAGTTACAAAAAAAGAGTAGAGTTTTGTTCATATTTTCGTTTCGATATTCTAAGATCATTGGTGAAGTTTGAGAATTTTTTGAGGTATTTTGATGTACTTTTCTTTATTTTTATATCTTTCAAACATTTACGAGGAAAAAATATTTTTTTTTATTTTTCGGATAGTTACGAAAAAGAGTAAATTTTCATTCTTTTTTCGTTTCGACATTCTAAGGTCATTGGTGCAGTTTGAAAATTTTGTGAGGTGTTTTAATGTACTTTTCTTGACTTTTATATCTTTCAAACATTTACGAGGAAAAATTAATTTTTTTGTTATTTTTCAAAAAGTTACAAAAAATTGTAAAGTTTAGTTTATTTTTTCATTCCGATATTCTAAGGTCATTGGTGCACTTCGAAATTTTTTTTGAGGTGTTTTGATGTACTTTTCTTGATTTTTATATCTTTCGGATATTTAAAAAAGAAAAATAATTTTTTTTGTTATTTTTCGAATAATTACGAAAAAGAGTAAAGTTTTGTTCATTTTTTTCGTTTCGATATTCTACTGTCATTCGTGCGGTTTGAGAATTCTATGAGGTATTTGATGTATTTTTCTTGATTTTTAAATCTTTCGAACATTTACAGAGAAAATTTTTTTTCGTTATTTTTTCGACAGTTATGAAAAAGAGTAACTAGTTGTTCATTTTTTCGTTTTGATATTCTAAAGTCATTGTTGCAGTTTGAAACTTTACTTTTTTCGTAACTGTCCGAAAAATAACAAAAAAATCATTTTTTTCTCAAAAATGTTCGAAAGATATAAAAATCAAGAAAAGTACATCAACACACCTCAAAAAAATCTCAAACTGCACCAATGACCTTAGAATATCAAAACGAAAGAATGAACAAAACTTTAATCTCTTTCGTAACTGTTTGGAAAATAACAATAAAAATAATTTTTCCTCATAAATGTCTGAAAGATATAAAAATTAGGAAAAGTACATAAAAACACCTCAAAATAATGAAAAACTGCATTAATGACCTTAGAATATCGAAACGAAAAAATGAACAAAACTTTTTTTCTTTTTCGTAACTGTCCAAAAAATTAACTTT